CACAGAAACCAAGCTTGGGCTACCTGTGGTTTGTCCGACTTGTAAAACCTATTCTGAATGAGCGTTCATTAAAAACCTTTCAAGACATAACATTTTGCACCTAATTATTTTACCATAAAAAAAAAAAGAATGCACAGTAAATGCATATGGTTACCTGCGAATATAAAGTCATAACTTGAACGACCATATATTTCTGCAGCACTTGATAAAGTTGCTGATCGACAAATATTCTGAAAAAAAAAATTGTGTTTCCAAATAAACATTACTTTTAGAAAAATGCATTTGAATAATTCTGATAATCTTTCTTATGCAATAATAATTTCTTGAAAATTACAATACCATAGTTTATAGATACCTTGTTTTCAAATAATATCACAGGAATAACAAATCGCGAACGACATCTTGCAAACCTTGCCTTCATAAACAGCTCTCTAAGATTTGAGCTCTCATTTATTCTGAAATATATATATATATATACTAAGACCTTTTTATCTAATATCAGATAAGTACAAATTTAAACGGTTTAATACAGGACCATACAGGACAATACAGGCTCAATCGTGACAAAACATACAGTATTTATTCAATGTACTAAAATGTACAATATTTATGTATTACTTCAAAAATATCTAAATATGCAAGTTCTAATTATAACTAAAAAATATATATACACATATTGGCCATGAAAAGGTTCGTTTATTAAGGTAAAGGTTTAATAAAAATCTGCGTAGAAGATGGGCAAAAATGGAAAAAAAATTTGGGAGGATCGATCGACAAGATGATCAAAACACTGAACAGTCACGTGTCATGAGAGTGTAGTATACCGTGTGACACGTAGATTATAAACAAAACCCAGAAAACCCCCAAAACTGCATCAAGAATACCGTCAATCCTCGATTCATGGTAAATCAATGGGCAGAATTTATAACAGGATGACAAAATTAGAATTTTTTTTACTTACTTGTCCTGGTCTTGCCCGGCTTCCGATTCCAGGATGACTAGCTTTATCGGGTAGTGGCCACATAATTCACCGGCCTCGTTAGAAATCGTCTGAAAAAAAGATCAATTTAGTACCCTTCAACTAAAAAAATGACAGACCAGGCTTTAATTAAGTGAAATGTTGCGTTTTTAAGAAAATTCGTCTTATGAAAATATTTCATTTATGAGAAAAATAACATTTATGACAGTCATGTGTTGACAACACAAGCAAACGGGGAATGAAAACAAAATAACTTACCGAAAATTTGTAATCTTTGGCGAACAGATTATGGCATTTTTTCTGAATAAGTTCTATCTGTAAAATTAGTTAAGTACAAGTATGGTAAAGAAGGTTTCAATTATAGGGTAAGTGAAAATTATTTAACGTAAAAATGAAATTAAAAATGAAATTACGCTTTACTTTAGGTTCAGTTCCGCGAGCTTTGTACGTGTTTTTTGCGAAGTATTGAAGTAGTTCTTGCAGATCTACGACACTGGTCTCCTCAGCTGAACTCATTAAGTACAAAGAAGCCTAGACAGAGGCCATTACTGATATTTACAATCTTTAAAATCAATTTTCTAAAGCGATCGGTGTATGAATCCATCAAACAAGACGAGGCAAGTCGGCAAGTCTGTTATGTGCAGTAGTAATAACACGCATACCAAATGACTTTATACCGCCGGATATCATACTGCAGTCACACCTGGACGGTCTGTGTACCTCCATAATCCGACCACCGGTCTAAAGTGACCACTATCTTCCTAATTTTTTTTTGACAAAATGTAGAGAATAAAAGGTTTTAATTTTTTAAGTACAATGGATTAAGGAATTTATTTTTTGTATGGGCGCATACAAATTCAGACTGCTCAGAAAAAGAAATATTGTGGCCAGACCATGTATGTGCATTATAGATACTTTAGTATTTCGACCAATCAGAACACACAAATGAAAAACGACTAAACTGATAAATGAAAATTAATTCAGAGTATTTATTTCATCCACTCAAATACACAAACTGTTGAAGTTTATTTGCTAAGTGAGATGAATATTATTGTTGCATGTATTGCAAGTTTGTGGGTTCATAACCTTGGAATGACAGAAGAAAACAGCCATTATTCATTCTAGACATTTTCATTCACATTTTACGTTAATTTTACTCTCATTACATTAGTTCTCTTCAATGAAAGATATCTCTACAAGCTAGGATATTAGTTAGCTTACTATAATATACCTTCCCAACACATGAAAAAATAAAATTCCCATCTTCACAGTGCAGTCATCTATGACATTTTCTGGGCCAACATAATCTGACATTTAAGCAAGCTACAGACACCCTTGCCAACTGTCAATCAAGTATAATTTGCATACTTGTGTAAGATATCAAATTATCTATAGTAGAGTGACCACAGTAAATCCGTGAAACTTTAGTAATACTAAATAGCACAATTTCATGCAAATTCCATTGTTTTCTATTGTTTAACTAGCACTATTTTGTACTATTTAGTAATTAGTGTTTCATGGATTTACTGTGGTCACTCTAATATCCTGTTTTTGCAAAGTTGATTCAATTAAACAAAATATCAGTTTTTTTGACCACAGCTCTAGAATAATGCTGTGTTCCACTACAGTAAAATATTTTACTGGAGTCAAACAGCAGAACAATAGTTGCATGTATAATTTTTGACATACGCTTTGCTAATTTCGTTTGTTTGCTTCAGCAGCAATTGAAATCAATGTAGTGCAAATAATATACCCGTGAAATAGTTAGGATGAAATAGGAGATAGTTAGCGCTTAATTAGACAAGACATAGGAATTCAGTGAGGCATGACAAGGGCACGGGCGTTTACTAGAGTAACAACTCATTACGCAAATGAATGATACGAAAATGCAAACATGTCAAATTATACAAAGGAAAAGCATGTACAATAAAATATTGTTTCAGTTTTTGTAAGTGTGTTTAAAAATATTTGAAAATGCGTGCCCTTGAGCAGCACACGTGCACTATTTTACCCATCACGGCTCGCCTATTTTAACTAATTAGACTTAGGCAATCAAAGGTTAGTAATTAGTTAGCTAGCTATCTATTTCACGGGTATATTATTTGCACTCTAATTCCTTTATTAGGATAGTTTGATTTCAAGAAGTGTTTAAACCGCCAAAAGTGTTATGGGGAGCCAATTATTTATCCTGCCAGACTCAAACTTAAGTTAGAAGTACCAATGTTTGCACACATTTAAGTTTCTAACTCCATTAATTATATTATTGTAATTCATTTGGAGAATTCCAACTGCATATTGACAGTCAATAATGATATTGAAAACATTAAAAAAATACATCCAAACATGCTAGATCACTGTCTTCACGGGCTACACTCTTGCCATTATCCTAATGGTTTTCCTTTGACGTGAAGATGTTTATTTCCAAACAGACTTTTTATTTGAAGATGCTGAAGATGCTGTAGACAACCGACTGCTTGCTGAGCTTACTGCTGACCGGCTTGACACACGGGAACTCAATCGACCTGAAAAATTATTTTATTTGACATTAGAATTCATATAATTCTTTCTGTCTGTATAAACTTACTATGATTATGAATTAGTGTACTATTATACTTCTTAAAACATTTATAATTTTATTTTCAATTTTGATTAGAGTAGAGTTTGATAGTCTCTCCCTTGATTCAAAACAGGTTTTCTCCTAATTCTCTAGCTTTTCTCTCTTTGCAAAACCAAAGAAGCTCAACTTTAATTAGATATTTGAACTTGCTGGGCCCTGACATTGATCAGTCCAGAGGTTGTTTCAGGGTTCAATCTGTGAGTTAGCCATTTCCTGACTTAGATCAGCCCAGAAGTTGTTTCACGGTTGGATCTGTGAATTAGCCATGGCTTGACTTAGATCAGCCCAGAGGTTGTTTCAGCCCATCCAGAGGTTGTTTCAGCCCAGAGGTTGGTATTGATAATATTATAAGGTTTTTTATTTAATTTATTTCACTTTAATTTAAAATAATAAACTTGACACTTACTCTTGCTGTCTTGGCTTAGTAGTTCGTCGTCCAGTTTTTCTTGGATTTTTTCAAGTTCTTTGTTCTTATTAAAGATTTTAATCAATTTGAAAAAATAGCTGCACATTTGCTATCTATATTATTAATAATAATTGTGTGAGGGCATATGCATTTTTGAAAGAAAAATATAAATATTAAAGTGCGCTCTTTCTGTTTGTTATTTTGATCTCATTTTAAGGGATCATACTAACAACAAACAGAAAGAGTGTGCGGGAGTAGGGTAAGGTGGAATTTAAACAGCATCCTGTTTCTAAAAATAGCCCCATCGGAAATGTACATGGCATGCACAATATTAAGAAATTTCCCTCCCTTATCTATGCTCTCTTGAACTAAGATATCTTCATGTCATTTTATTTAATAGTCTCCTACGCAGCCACTATCAGGGTTGTAACCCAACACTGCATGACAACACTAATAGCAGCTGCAAAGGAGACTACTTATTTATTATAAATTTATAAAAATAAGGGATGGAAGACATTTGAAAAGTGTAATACTAAATAAAAATAAATATGTGATGACAAAGGATACGTTCATATGTAAAATAGTTATAATGTTGTTGGGTCCCAGGAGTGGACGGCTGTGGGAGTCGTTGTTTTCCTGATCCCTTTCTTGAGGGGGGAGGGGTGGGTATACATGATGCTGGTAGCTTTCCTGTAATCATGCAGTCGCCAAATTTCTTTGCTAAGACTTTCAATCCTGTAAAATGGAAAATCAATGAAATAAATACTCTAATCTTACATTGATTTTGTAGTACTCTTTCAAATATTCTCCATTTTCCTTAAACATTACACCTCAATTCCATTACTACAGTATGTTTTATATAAAATAACTACCGTAAACAAGACTTTCTGATTGTTTAAGGTAGTGTGTCAGCTTTACGAGTCAGAGCACAAAAAATAAGTGCCAGAAATGAGGTATGAATTACGAGCTGAAACTAACTTGGCTGGCCATCAAGACCGGCGACTGGCCGCCATGTTTCCAAAATAATGATTATACATTCTAATTTGTATTTTATACAAGAAATTAAAAAACTTGCTTGCTGTACATGTGTTGTGTGCAGCTATAAAGCACTTGCCATGTTGGTAGAACACTGATGATAAGAGTTGAGAAACACATGACTGTGTGCATTGTGCTAAACAGTGTTTTTCAATTTACGTCTATTATTTTCTGGCAGCATGCTATATGACTGTACAGAGCATGGATACTGTTTTTTATTTCTTCATTAATGTCAAGCATACCTCCAGATAGGACAAACAAGTTGTCCACTTCTCGCTGGACAAAAGTGGTGGCAGAAGGTCCTGTTAACCGTTCATCTTCATCGTACAAAATAATTATCTTACCAACTTTATTTTTCTACTTTGGTGTCAAAGAAAGGTAGTCATGTTGAAATAGGCAATAGAGGCACTGGACGAGTGACAAGAGCCACTCATTTAGTAGGCTTTGTTATGTTTATGATGAGTGACAAGTGATTGTATGGCCAATACAACACAGACACTAATGTTGTAAAACTTGAGAAATTCACTTATAATTCATAAATGCTTTGGGACATTTTGAATTCATATTACTAAAAAGATACACTAGTGCTGTATACATCCACTAGTGGTTGTATCTAATTAGCATTTCATTGTAAAGTCATGTGACCTGATTTCTAAAGCTGGATTGGCTTAGACCCTTATTAACTTAATTCATGAATTTTACAATGATCAGAACAATAAATCCAAATGGTTAACCATAGACTAAAACACTGTCATTAAACACTGTTTCAATATGCTAAAGGAATCAAGCATGGTGTAGCAGTACTTAATGGCCATTTGCCTCTGGAGCCTCAGGCTCAATTCCTGGACTCTATAAAGTTCTTTCCCTTAATTCAAGGGTTTTCGTAAGTTAGCCATGCTCTCACTAATTAGATGATGCCCTAGTGATTAAAGAACGTGATATTAATACCATGATATCTATTAAAGGATACAAACATAAGGATTTCTTTTGTAAAGTAGTTATAAGATCTTGATAGCATGCTAGCTGGGTAGTTTAATGCTGAAAGAAAACAAAGTAAACTAAATGTGAAATTTGATTGTATTTAAGTTTGATGACCTCCAATAACATGACACATGTAAAATGCATCAAACATAAAATATAAACATTCAGGTTAATGGGCAATGACGACAATCAAATAAATTGTTTTAGCACTTGAAGGTACATGGGAGTCATGGAAAGGCATCTGTGATAGATGGTAAAACAGTGCTGATTATCCTGTCCCCCATGATGAATGTGTAGCAATAGTGTCAGTTATATATGAAGAAATAATAATCTATTATTTCTTAAAGCAGGCTGATTATTTTCAGCAGCATTCGCTAATGTGGGTCTGTTTTCACTCACACTCTGACACTACCTCTACATTAATATTTCATGCACACATCGCTCAACTCCCATGTTGATTTTTACGGGAAGAAAACTGGAGAACCCAAAGAAAAACCCTCATGGCAAGGGAGGGAAAAACACATCAAACAAACTCAATTCACATTTGGATTTCATAGAAGGAAGAAAACTGGAGAACCCAAAGAAAAACCCTCATGGCAAGGGAGGAAAAACACATCAAACAAAGTCAATTCACATGTGGCATCCGCAGGGCTTGAACCAGCGACCTGACCTGTTGGACTCACAGCTGTAAAAGATGACGAATTAATAGCCTACACCACGCATGCCACTGTACTCTTTGTGCTTGTATTATAATTAACGTTCTACTGTACGTACTACTGAAGTAAGATTACCTCCAATAATATGACACTTGTCAAATGCATCTTTCTCTCTGATGTCAAGAAGTAAATAAGGCATGGATTCTATATCAGGAGCATATGTGGATGTTTGTACTTGTGGTGTTTGAGGGTTGTTGTCTTGCTTCTCTTTATCCTTCATATCTATTTCACCGACACCATGAATTAAGCTGAATGACAATTGATAAGATATATATTATTAAAAATAATAATAGTTAATAACTGGAACAACAGCCAAATTTTATTAAAGAGTCTAGTACTGAGTAGTATACTAGAAGTGTAATTGCTTTTGTCTAAAAATATTGGTTAGACATCAAAAAAAATAGCTGAACCTTCAATAAGCATCTACTTTGAACATTTTATTTACCTACCTGTGGACTATCATTAATAGAGCTATACCATCTGAAAGAGTCACTGGTTTCTAGCCCACAATGCTAGATATCACGCTTATAACCCATATCTCATGAAGGTGAATGTAATCAGTAATTAATATGAGCTGCGGTAGTGTAACCAATCAGAATACAGATTTTTTATTGGTCCAATAATTTGATTTTACTCATAAGATACATAGAGAATATTACATGGTGGCACGAAGATGTAAAGTTTTTTTTTTTAATTAGTGAAAATATTTCACATGTGAGCAGAACAAACGAGTGAAATATGTTTTAACAAGAGAAGATAAACTTCATATCTTTAAGCCAATGCACTTTTTTTTTAACTAGACACATTCACAAACAAAAACTTGTTGAAAACATTACAAAACATTTGAAAAGAAATCATCAATATCTTCACTAGTGAGGAGACGGAAAATATGTCACTGAGGTCCCGGACAATATAGTTTGTGCAATAAATACAAGTGGTGTATTTCCCAGTAAACATTAAATGTGTACATATTAATAATATATTTTCCACTGGGATGAAGCTAGAATTAATAGTTACATACCCATGAAGAGTAGACCTGGATGTCTCAGTACCAGATGTATTAGGTCTTTCATTCTCGTCACCTAATATCAATGGCGGAACATTCTCCTCCATTTCTTTCTCATCTGGAATTAAGGTTGATGTGTCTGACATTTCACTACCTATGATCATAAAACACAGAGATTTCTTCTAGATTCTCTCAACATTGCTCACCGAAATAATACATTACAGTTGTTAGAGGTACAACTATAAGAGCTATCAAGTAGAAACCAGGGCTGTCAACTCTCCCGGATAAACTGGGAGTGTCCAGATTTTGGACCGTATCTCCCGGTCTCCAAATTAGAGTCTCAAATCTCCTGGATAATCACTGAAGCTGACCATTTCTTGTGAGACTTGACTTTCACAACCATAAAATTCCAATTATTTAGTGTTGTTTGTGTTATTTTGCATCACTAACAAAATCAAAACATTCCTCATAAACTGTTATTGCAAGCAGGCCATTGTAATATGTGATAATCTCATTGGTCAGAAATAAACCAATCACATCAAATGTTACAAAGTGAATGACGTCTTTTCGTGCACTTTTTTCCGCTGTGGCGTCATGTCCCTTCCCTATCAATTCTCCAGATTTGAATATCTTGGGGATTGACAGCCCTGAGAAACCTTTGGGACACTTGGTGTCCTCTTAGTAAAGGGTGTTCACTGGAGTAGCTTGTCTTAGACAGTAAATATAAGAAGAAAATTCTGGGATCTTGCAACAATAAATTTATATGGTTTCTTACCTGCAGCAGAAATTAGATTTTCTCTGTCTTCTTCAACTTGAATCACCTGTGCAACTTGCAAAACCTAAATCACAAAGATTTTACAGATGAATAATTAAGAGAAACTTTTTGAAATGGGATTTCTATTGATTCTGGTGACACCATGATAAAAGACTTACAAGTTGTGCAAAAGTTGAGACTTTCATTCGCTTGAAAATTTCATCTTTTCGAAATTTATAGTCTAAAAAAAGGGAAGAAAAGAAGAATAAAGATTAATAAAGGGAATGTCGAAGTACTTGAGACATAACGGTTTTGTAAATAATAGGAGAAATATTCTTAGCAGGTGTTAATGACTCAAAAAATAACTTCATTAGCAAACATAAGACACTTCTACTGCGTTATTAATGCAGTTCTTTGTATGAGAAGAAATGTAGATATAGCGAAACGGTAGACAGTATACAAAATGAACTTTTTCAGAGGTATAAAGGATAGAAAGTAGAAGTACAAGCGATTATTTTATAAGCTTAATAAATGATAAAGCATAGAAACATGATTCATAATAAAAAGATATAACTAGCTAAAAACTAGTGTGAGCTGCGTC